TGCACTCACGCAACTCCTCCACAATTGCCGGCCACTCCCTTCGGCCCCCACCAGAGGTGACCCCCAAAAAGTGGACCGATGCTGCAGGTGTTAAAAACGGAACTGTTGAGGCCCTCATCTGGGAGGCCGTCGTTCTGGGTTTGCTTGCAACAGATCAGTCACCACATACCCCTCAATCTAATGGCTTCTCTGTGGCATGTAGGCTTCCTGCACCCTTGAAAACACAGCGCTAGGGAAAGAGCAGCTCGTGGTAGAGCAGCGATCTGGCCAAGCGGTCAGGACGTCCGATTGGTGCCTTGGACCTCCACCTGACCCTTGTTCAGAGAAGTCGGTCCAAGACACCCAGTGAGAGCAAGATGCACTGCACACGTGGGCTCCTCCTCACCGGTTTTCTGGAGAGCCGCTGCCGCCAGCTTCTCAAACGCCAGCGCGAGCTCGTCCAAGAGCAGGACCCTGCGCCCGGTCCCCTCGTGCCAGATGAACCCCCGAACTACCGCAAGGGCGACGTAGAGTGACTCCAAGCCTGCAGATCCGGGAGCACGAGCAGTCCACTCAGATACTGGAGGCTACACTGAGACAACTGAGGTACAAACACCGAGGGCCCTACGCGTCCGTGCTGACTCCACCACTTTGGCAAGAAGTTTTATAACAGGGTCACACGTTATGCTAGGTAAAAGAAGCTGCCATCTGCCATCTCCTTGGAGAGATGCCAGAAGCGACTGTAACAATAATTCCGAATTCATTGTGGCCGCTGGATTTCACTCTTCCACCGGAGAAAGCTGTGCCCTTACTAACGCAGGGAAGCCCAAGAATTTCCAAACGCAGATTCCTGCTCTTGTGAGCCGCAGGTGCAACTGTTGCTCTGAGCAGATGATGGCCGTGGACATCTCCTGCTCGAGCAAGCGTCGTGGCTGCACCTGCCAGCCACAGCAGGTGGGGACGCTCACCTGTGACGGGGACCAAGTGCAGGTCCCCCACGTGCAGGTCGTCCGCCTCAGCGTCCGCTTCGTACGCCCTTCGCACCTCCGGAGAAAGCCATTCAAGGGCCTTGAACACACTGGTGGCACCCCAACGCCCAGAGTCGTCGCACAGGCTGCACAATTGGGAGAGATAAGAGGTCTTTGCTGATGACCACTTTTGCATCGAGCGAAATTTCGACAGGAAAGGTTCTCTTCGTTCCATTGCTTGCGCTCGCAGTGCGCACATCTCTGGCCGCTCTTTGGTCTGACGCCAAAAGAGACAGGTGACCCACCTGACGACGATGGCGGGCTCGTTGGGTGCTCCCCTCTTGAGCTTCGTGACGTCACCCCTCACGAAGCGGATGTCGTGATCTTCGGCCTCTCCTGGCCCTCAATCCTCGAGATCGAACGGGTTAGGCTCCTCCACGGAGCACGACTCGTAACCCAGCTCGGCCCACTTGGCTCGCCGCTCCTCTTCAGCTTCTTGGCACTGGCGGAGGAGGGCTTCGTCAGCCGCATTGGCCATTGCAATGAAGGGAGACAAACAACCGGTTACAGGCGCAGTCCCCCCATCTGAACACATACAGCTGTGACCGTAGCACAGGCCTAACACTGCGTGTCTCGTTTCCCAACCACAGCAAAGACAAGGGTGAATCCAGTTGGCCTGGCTCGTCAGCTCGCTCTCACTGCTCACTGTGGCTTCGATGCAGGAGGGATTGGTGCAGATGAATAGCAGAGGCTTGATCGCATGCCCAGATGCTTGCTGTCGTAGCATGTTGACGTTGAAATCAGCACAGGAGGCGAACAGAGGAGCACGGCTGCAGCGAAAGGAAGACCTGAGTTGATTGCTGGTGAGCAGACATGGAGAACCGGACTGCCCACCTTGGATCCCTTGGCTCATGCGATCCTTATATACCATGTGCACAAAGGTCACGTTCAGGTTGACCATTCCGGCAGAGCGCCCCTGGACACAAAAAGATTGTTTAGCTGAGTTTTGTCTTTGCTTTTGCAGAGCTCAAAAGCCACTCTCCGGATACATATCAACGAGGTGTTCCTGCTCTCGAAGACGTTGCTGTGATGTGACGCTCAAGATGGCTGCATAGGACGGTGGACATGTGTTCCAATGAGGAGCAGTATATCGACCAACGTGGGCAGAGGACAGGCTGCAGCTACCATGTCCCGAACCTTTCATGAATCAGCACCTCGATGAAACAAACACCAAAAGAACCATCTCGTTGACTTAGACCATCACCAACTTATGAGTAGCAAACCCCTGCCGCACAAAATAGAGCAAATAGCCATACACAGCACAACACTCCTGCTGCTATGCCACAGTGATTGCAACAAGCAACAAGCAGTTCCGAGTCCAGAATGACATGATCACACAAAACGTCTCCCCGGATCCCCGATCAATGCAGATTTGGAACCACACGTTGTGCACGCAACATTACTTCAAGGCTCTGCCAGCGGTGGCTGCCCCGTCCCCATCCCTTTGTCTGCCACCTGCCTCTTCGCAGCACCTCTCATCACTCTTAACTCAGTGGCGCCTTGTCTCACCTCCGTCTCTACGTCGTCTAGTGCTGGTGCAAAGGAAGCTGCCTCAAGTGTTTGCTCCATCTCAGAGCCCTCGTCGGAAACCTGAGACGAGAACCCTTCCTGCGCCCCCTCCTTGCCCTTCTTCCCACTGGGCGCTCCACTCTGGTCGCCCTCGAGCTCCTTCTTGGGCGCCTGCTTCTGCCCCGCAAGCGCTTCCTCCTCGCGTCCGACAGTCGGCACTGGCTCTGCCTCCCCCCCCT